CAACAAACACAAACACAACAAACACAAACACAACCAAGCACAGCACAACCACAAGTTCAAATTCAACAAATATATAATGCTATTCTTCAACAACCACTTCCTCAAAGGATTCCAAATTTAATAGAGTTCCATAAACAACAAATGGCCCAATGCCAGCAAAAATATCAACAAACTTCGCAACAAGTTGCTTATGTTCAAACCCAACTCCAAAATCCTAATCTACAACAAACCAACCCACAAAACTATGTACATCTTCAATCAGCGATGGTTCAGCTTCAACAAAATTTACAAAAACTTAAACAAAATTTTCATATGAATTCGAGTCAATTATTATCACTTCAAACACAATTCTCACAATTACAAACTAAAACTACACCCACACAACCACAGCAAGCAGGTCAACCTCAACAAGCAGGTCAACCAAATCAAACAGGCCAACCTATTCAATCTCAGACACAGCAAGCAGGTCAGCCTAATCAACAGGTTCAGTTACAACATCTTCAACAATTACAGCAATTCCAGATACACCAACAACAACTACAACAACAACAACAGGTTCAACAACAACAAAACCAACAAATTCAATTACAGCAACAACACATTCTTCAGCTCCAACAACAACAGGCCCAACAACAAGCTCAACTCCAACAACAACTCGCTATGAATGCAGCAGGGACCCCAAATGAAAAAAATAATAAAAAGAGAAGAGCAGAGGGTTTGGACGATAGAAAGAAGGAGGCCAAGCGTCAGGAGCTTGATCTTGAATATAAGAAAATTATTGAAGAGGCTTTGGTTGAGCGTAAGCTTGCTACCCAACCAGATTATAAGAATCCATTTAAATCATTGCAAGATGCCAATGAAAGATTAAGTTGTTTCAGAGTTTTTTCAATACTCGAGCCACCACCACCACCAACAAAAACCGAAGAGGAGGATAAGAAACCTATCAACGATTTATTAAAACATGCTAAAAGCTACTTTAATACCAAGTTTGATAAGCATTCAGATGAACAAGTTCAGCAACAAGATTTTCAATATTCTAATGATTATCATTTATTGTGGAGATGTTTAGTAGCCGATATGCCCGATTATAAAGCTCAATATCAAAAGGCCAAATCAGCTATATTTGCATCACCACCACAAAATGTACAAAAACCAGCTGCATTATTATCTCCAGCTACCACAAGCGCTACTCCATCTGTCGCCACACCAGCTGTTGTTACACCTACTCTTACTCCATCAATGGTTTCACCAACCACTGCAACTCCACATTTCCTTTCACCAAACCCAATTACCCCATTGCCAACACAAACATCTACCCCTACAACTACATCAGTCACTGTTTCTAATTTACCTCAACAAGATTCTGTTGCTTTACCATCAACAACCATTAATACATTACAACCAGAAATAAATAGTTTAGCAACTGACTCGACTAATATTACAACAACAAATCCAGAAAATAATAAAACACCACTTGAAAACACAACCGAACCTAATGTAGATAGCGAAACAAAACCAATAATAGAGAGTATTAATAATAGTGATGGTATGAGTATGGAAGAAAATACTAATGAATCAACTACTATTAATAATACCACCGAATTAAATAACAATGTAGATAACAATAATGTAGAAATTACACCAACAAATACTACCACTGAATCAGCTACTATCACTAATGCCCCAATTGTAACCGAATTAATGGGCGAGCAAACTATCACTAATAACGAAAGTGATCCAATAAATACCAATGCTAATGATGAAAACACTACCTCTGCTACTACTACTTTTGCAACAACACCAACCACTAACACTCCCCCAACAGCAGCTGTAGCCTCAATGGCATCAATTTCACCAACTCTTAATGATAGCGAAAACAATACAACAATTACTTCAACCACAGCTAATTTGTCAACACCCACAACTCCAATCCCCGCAACTAATAATAATATTGAAAACCAAATCCAACAGCCACAGCAACCAATTCAACAAGAGGAAATTTCATCAAATGAAAGCAATAATATGGAGATTGGTGATAATAATATTGGAAATGGTTTAAATAATGAAGGTATTATCAATAATACTTCTGAAATTAATAACCAAGGCAATATTAATAACAATGATAATATTAACCAAATGGAAATTGATGCTAGTGCTGACAAAAGTTTTGGTAATATAAATAATAATATGGATAGTAATATGGATAATAATATAACAATTGGTAACTTTGAGAATACAAATAGTAATGAAAGTACATCCCAAGGTATAATTGATAATAGTAATAATAATAATAGTTTAAATGATTTTAATAATAGTGGTTTAGTTAATAATAACATGTTTATCGATAATGATAACATTAATAATAATAATAATAATAATAATAATTTAAATACTGAAATCAATAGTAATATTAATTTTGGTAATATCGAAAATTTTAATCCAGAGAAAAATAACAACACCTTTGAAAATAATAATATAATTGCAGGGGATAGTAATATGAACGAAACTGGCGCCGAAAATAATATTTAAATAATCAAATTAAAAATCAAAATCAAACTCTAAAAACTTCTTAATTGTAAATTGCAAACAATAATAATAATAATAAAATAAAAAGAAGTAAATAAACAAAAATAAAATTAAAGTTAATATTTAAATTATTAAAGTTTTTTATTTAGTTTATCAGGTTTTTTAAAAAGAACTGTTTTGAAAAAAACATAGTTTGAAATAATTTTATTCTTTTTTTATTATTTTTTAGTTTTTTTTTAATTTTTTTGCAACTAGATACTAAAATGAAGTAATTTTAGGACAAAATCATAATACTGAAAAGGAAGCCATGGCAATAATAGAAGAAGATGAAAATGAACCAATTGATGCCTCACCTCAAAGATATTCAAAGAGGGATTATTCATTCCACAATTTGAAGAAATATATGCTGTTAATGAGGAATCACAAGTGTAGGAAAATGCTTCTGCACCATCTCAAGAAGATGAAGATGAAGTATATAAAGTGTTGGAGGAATATTCAATCAAAGATTCATTTATGAACTCCACTTTGAAATCAATAGCTCAAAAATGATTATATAAATAATGGTGATAATGTAGATTAAGTTTTTAGCATGTAAAAATCGATGTGTGAGAGAATAATTAATATTTGCCAAATAAAAATTTAAAAAAATAAATTAAAAAAATATTTTTAATATAAAAAAATAAAAATATTTCCAATATAAAAAAATAAAATTTTTTTTTTTTTTTTAAATTGTTTTTTTTTATATTAAAAATGGATGAGCTACTATCATCTCTAATTAAATTTCGCGTAAATGAAGAGTTAAAAAACAGTAGTAATATTAGTGATAGGTAAGTTACAATTCAATACAATACAGTAAATATAAATAATCGATCGATCAATTAAAAGCATATTAATTGGTGTTTTCTCTTTTTTGACTATTTATTATAATAGATTATTATATATAGTTTGGAATAATATATTTTTAAGAAATGAAATTCATAAACATATTTTAAAGTTTATTAAACATAGTGTTGCAAATCTTGATATATCAGGTTATAGCAAGTTTAAAGATAAATCATATATAACAATACTTAAGTGGAGTAGTGATACACTTCCAGATAAAAATGAATTTCCACCATTTTTGACAGATTTATATTTTTGTGTTTTCAAAAAAGTTTTAACTTTAACAACTTTACCAAATACAATTACTACTATCATATTTAATGGTGATTTTAACCAAGTAGTTCCACCTGGCACATTGCCAAATAGTCTCACAACACTCACATTCGGTGGTGGTTTTGACCAAGTAGTTACACCCGGTACATTACCAAATAGTCTCACAACACTCACATTCGGTTATCATTTTAACCAAGTAGTTCCACCCGGCACATTACCAAATAGTCTCACAACACTCACATTCGGTTCTTGTTTTGACCAAGTAGTTCCACCCGGCACATTACCAAATAGTCTTACAACACTCAAATTCGGTGATGATTTTAACCAAGTAGTTCAACCAGGCTCATTACCAATTAGTCTCACAACACTCTCATTCGGTGAAGGTTTTGACCAAGTAGTTCCACCCGGCACATTACCAAATAGTCTTACAACACTCATATTCAGTTATGATTTTAACCAAGTAGTTCCACCCGGCACATTACCAAATAGTCTCACAACACTCACATTCGGTGGTGGTTTTAACCAAGTGGTTCCACCTGGTACATTACCAAATAGTCTCACAACACTCACATTCGGTGATAATTTTGACCAAGTGGTTCTACCCGGCACATTACCAAATAGTCTCACAACACTCAAATTCGGTGAATATTTTAACCAAGTAGTTCCACCCGGCTCATTGCCAAATAGTCTTACAACACTCACATTCGGTTCTTATTTTAACCAAGTAATTCCACCTGGCACATTACCAAATAGTCTCACAACACTCACATTCGGTGAATATTTTAACCAAGTAGTTCCACTCGGCACATTACCAAATAATCTCAAAACACTCATATTCGGTTATTATTTTAACAAAGTAATTCTACCCGGCACATTACCAAATAGTCTCACAACACTCACATTCGGTAATTATTTTAACCGAACCAGTTCCACCTGGTACATTACCCAAATCTCACAACAATCACATACGGTCCAAAAAAAAAAAAAAAAAAAACAAAGTATTATTAATAAATAAAAAATAATAAAGTAATTAGGGATTATAATTATTTTCTTAACCAAAAAAAAAAAAGATTACTCTGGCCACCACTTCCAAAACACTCCTCCAACACCATCACCAGTATCATCTATTGTTAATCAAGTTATAAATAGACCAGGAATTAACCAAAAAACGAAAATCGAGTAAATCAAAATGATCAAGAAGAACAAAATTTACATCAACATATCAACGTTGTTCCGGACATGGTATATTTTGGTATGCATACTCTACTTTAAAAATTGATGAAAAGGGATATTTTTTGTACCATAAATAAACTTACTAATAAAATAATTGAAAGATAATAATATTTTATAATTTAAAAGTTAATTAAAAAATAAACTATATTTTTTTAAATTTGTTACTATTCTTAAGATTCTATTTATTTTATTTAATTTTTAATCTTCCTAACTCTTCTTTGCTGTAATTACTGTTCTATGGATACCCCAATAATTACCCCAATTCATATTAGACACGAGATACTC